GTCTAATACACGGTGTAGTAAACGATACATTATTACCGATTGGATCGGGGGATAAAAAGATCCAAGCTTATAATTTTCGGATGTGCCTCACCAACGACACCAGGATTAGGATAAATATTACTAAACCAGACGGTTATGATCCAGCTATTTTTGAACTGTACCTGCGCGATCTATTAGCTAAAGGTCATCATAATAAGACATCCGATTTGAATGCACCAGGACCACAACTGCCTGGGTACTCGCCAATGCCTCACAATAAATCTGATTATAACATGGGTGATTATGTTGGTAAGCTAAAACTTAAATAATACTTTAATTGGAAAATAATAATGACTTAAAAATTAATAGTATTAACTTAGTATAAAAAAATTATTTATTTACAACAATTACTAATGTTATAAGTATTAGAAACTGGGTACTGTAGGCCATGAATTTTAATCTATGTTATTATACTATAACGTGTTAATAAAAGACATTAAATTACACAATAAATGAAGCCTAAATAAAAATATAAATAAATCTAATCCAGGTATGAATCACGATTACGCGAACGCAAGTTACGAAGTAAGACAAAAGATATTTAACCAGCACAAAACCTATAGTCTGGGACTAATATACTTCATGCAAAATGACCCTCGTATGCCAAAAGTGACCAAGAGCCATATGGTGGGCTGGGGTCTGAAAGTTACGAAGTAAGACAAAAGATATTTAACCAGCACAAAACCTATAGTCTGGGACTAATATACTTCATGCAAAATGACCCTCGTATGCCAAAAGTGACCAAGAGCCATATGGTGGGCTGGGGTCTGCCTAACGACGAGTTTGTGGACACAGATCACTGGACACCCGCCCTATACGTACGGGAGGCCAGGCGTATGATTGGCACATACATTATGACTGAAAATAATGTGGTCAATAAGACCCGGGTCACTGATGGCATAGCAACCGGCTCGTACAGCTTGGACTCCCATAGCACTCAGAATATTGTGTGGAAAGGTATGGTTAAGAATGAGGGCTGTGTGTCCACTGCCGAGGGCGTACATCCCTACCCCATATCCTATCAGTCAATGACACCGAAGCACATGGAGGCCCATAACGTGTTGGTGCCCGTGTGTCTGTCGGCTAGTCATATAGCTTATGGGTCTATACGTATGGAACCGGTGTTTATGATGTTGGGCGAGGCTGCCGGTGCTGCCGCACATTTGGCCCTCGATGAGGACGTTATGGTACAGTCAGTTAATGTTACCAGGCTACAAGAAATATTGAATTATCATGGATAATTAAAATATGACTGTTATTTACTGATTGTTATTAAGGGACTGTATTTGAGAATAGTAGGGATGCTAAGTAAGAAACTTATTATTTAAGGGAATCGCAAGTTAAACCTGAACTAGGTATTTATTAATTAAGATTTTAGGAAAATTAAATCGAATGAAAAGTTTTAAATTATTAGAATTTTAAAATTACTTAGTATATTCGCCCTTAATAAAATTATTATAAAATTTTAGTTGATTTAACTTTTTTTTAATAATTATAATTAAATTTAAAAAATAAACATATAAATTTTAAATTCTTTTTATTGTTTATAACAGTACTGTTATTATTAAATTAACAATTCATTGTTGACATCACAATATAACTCATTTGAATTAAATGGTAATTCATTTGAATTAATAGATTCAATTGTAGGTATTCGAGCTCGTTTAAGAATTTTATCTTGATGAATGGTTGGTGCTGGTAGAAAATTATCTTTTTCATTTCCACCTTGTTGAGTGGTTGGTGCTGGTCCAAAATTACCATGTTCATTTGGTGGACTCATATATAGGAATTGTGGCACTTGGCGGACTCCTACATTATTAAATGTTCGGGTAAGTCTATTAGGCTGATTTAAATATAGTGATTTTGCTAGTACATAATACATACCTGGGCGTTCTTTTAAGATTGTAGGTAACCTTATTTTATTCATCTTTGGCAGCACCGGGCGTTTGTATTGAGGTAAGCGAAGTGGGGTTTTATTAGGCAATTGTCGGCGTATATAAGTTGGGGATTGCATTGCACGCACTGAATGACCGGGATGTTGACGGTATGTATCAGGCATTGACCGGTCATTGTATGGGAGAATCACACGTTGCCGGGGTTGTAGTAGTGATAATTCCGGCCTAGGATCTTGTAAGTTAAATTGATCTTGTTCTCTGAAGCAACTATATAATCCCAGTGTTAATAGGATTATAAAAGGTATACTGATTTGATTTTTAAACATAATTATTGTTCTTGTTTTATTAACATGAAACCATATTGGTGGAAATATATTTAATGAATTATGTATTAAGGTTTTGTGATAGTTATAGAAATTAATTACAGCTATATTATGTATTAAAACTCAAAATTAAAAATAAATATTAATTTTAATATAATAAATACACATAAATTACGCTTAAACTTTATAATTAAATTATCTTTTATTATATAACTTTTATAATTTGACTCATAAATACACTGATTATTACAGAAAACCCAGTTTTATATTAAAGTTTAACTATCAGATACCGGGGTGATTGAAATTAACATTTTAAACGTATCATTAGCAAAACCTACCATGAAATCACTTGTATTATTCACAGCACCGTCAGCATCGGTGCAACCATTAAGCTCATGAAACGGTATCAAATCATCGATGTTAAGCACCCGGTGCTCATCATTGAATACATAGAGTTTGCGGACCACTTCTCGCACGTACTCTATGTAATCCGTCTGACCGTATATGAGTACGCTTACACATACCCGGCCTCCAATTCCCTTATTTAAGCGGACAGATAGCCGCACAGTATTGTTGATCAGCTCCGGGATCTCAATAGACTTATCCATTAAAGACTTGTGATATTTGATGCCTTTTGGGTGCAGCTCTACCACCCACTCGTTGGACAGACATGTCTGTGAGTTAGTGTCAGGATTATCAGCTTTGAATGTAGGGGTGGTTAGGGTTAACCCCTTAATACCAAAATGAGGGAATATTTTGTAGTTCTCGACCTCTAGTGTGGAACTCCATTTAGAGGACGTATATACTCGGGGTATAAATGAATGCACCGGTAGTTTGCCATTCAGTTCGTTAGGATTACCGGTTATACGGTATAGCATTGCCAGCGATAAGGTTTCTGTGAATAAATCGCGATGTTTTTCAATCACGTGATTTGTAAACAGGGTGACCAACTGTTTATTATCCATAGTTGGAAATCTGATAAGTGGTATAATAGTAGTTATTAGTTTGGATTCATCAGGGTTACTCTGTGCTGATAGCCATCTGAATAGTTGTTCAAGCAAATGAAATTCATCTGTGATAACCAGGTCATCGCGGGTTAATATTTGCTTCAAATCAGCCTCGTTCATTAATAGAAAATCATCGGTTTCAGCCACTTGTTCAAAGTTATTCGAAATGAACTCGGTCACTTTATTTGTGAAATCTCTGTGATCGCGCGATTTGTACAAACAATTTAGCCAGGTACAAATTTTATTGTTAGCTACTGCTGTAGCTAGGTGAATGTCCATATAGTGTAAACATAACTTGTTCAAATCGCGCACCAGGTATTTATCTGATAGTGTTAATAAAGTTAACACTGAGTCATCGCTAATGTTAATAATCCCGGTATATAAGTATTCGAGGAATTCCGGGAACAGTTGGCAACACTGGTCGGACTCATTCACAATTAGCGGTGAATTTGTTTCGCTATTTATTAGCATCTCTTCGAACACGTGACTCGACGCGCATAGTATAACCCGATGGCACCGGTAGTCCGTGCCGTTCACCTGTAGGGTGGTGTCGGTGAACAGACGCTCATTGTATAGTCGCCGCAGTTTTTCTAACAATTTATCCGAGTTGTTAAATTCATGCTGAGTTGCAGGGTTATTTATGTGGGTGAATGTGCTATCTGATTCTGTAGCTTGCTCATTTTCTGGCGCACTCGAAGTAGCCCAGGTGTAAACCGATGATAACAAATGCGGGGCTAAATACTGTTGGAGATTGGAGATTAAAATTGCTTGATTATTACTAATAAAAACCTCTCTCTCTCTCTCTCTCTCTCTCTCTCTCTCTCTCTCTCGAGTTATTTTATTAAATAAAATGACCAACCTCAATTGATGTTTTGCCTAATAATAGCCAAAAAGGATTCATGTTAACTGTTGTGATGTTTACTACGCTTTGTTTAATAATAATGTGAATGCGTTTTAATTGTGAAGGTTTAATGACGTTGTTGTCATAACATTAGTTGTATTATCACTGTTTATAAATAACGCTAATATAAATGTTGTTAAAGCATTGAACGTACAGTAGGTGTATAGCATAGTTGTTATGCAATGAATGTTTGTTTAGTTAGTGAATTGAGAGAGAGAGAGAGAGCGGCACTTTTTAAAATTTTATATGAGTTTAGTAACATTAGTTATTTTATTTTTTAAAAACTATTATGCATTTTATAACTTAGTTGGAATTAATCTTTATCTGTTTTAATTAACTTGTAAAATTGTTGATGCTGAATAAATAAATTATTTGAAATGAAATAATTAATTTACAAAGTTTTATTATTTAATTGTATACAGTAAAAATATAAGCATTCTTTGAACACTCACTAACTTATAATATAAATGTTATATGATTATATCATCATATAATTTATATGACCAATTTAATAATATTTTTGGATTTCACGGGTTCGTCGAAACATTCTCTTAATTTGTCGTTATATTAGTACCCTGGTCTTTCACACTGTATGCCAACCTACAAAGCTTATGAGTTGTTTTACATTTAACTCAAAAATTTACAATTCACTATTAATTGAAGTCTCCCTCATAATTATCATGTCATCCATATTATTATGCTTATTATTACGTGTTTTCGGTGAACAATTTGCAATAAGTTGCCTAGAATATATATTTTATTTGTAAAATTAAATAAGTATTAGTTTAATAAAAATAATAACTTATCATTGATAAGTAACTTACGTTAAAAATTTTCTGTACAAATATGCAAAAACTATAATGTTTACTAAAATTATTACAATTATCGTAATGATAAACCATTTACTATTTGTACTAGGTTGTTCTTGTTTTCCAAAAATATGCTGCAATTCTTGAATTAAATTATCTAATTTAGTTGCCAGTTTATTTATCTCGGTGTTGTTGTCAATTGTGCTATTTGTAGTATTATTTAAATTGTTTTTGGACTCCGCTAATAACCCTTTCTAGATTTATAAATATAAACAATTAAAAAATTTAATACACTGAAAAATTCTCCAAGTGTACATTTATCAAGATAATTAAGTCATATTCAACACTATAAAAAACAACTCACACTCTCGCGACACAGTATGCGATTTTTACCACAAGCGCACCGGGATCTATATTGTGAAACTGGTAGACATAGTTGCGAACAGCCATCGTTTCTTTTACACGTATAGTGAGATCCAAAACCTTGCCTCCCGGTGTTCAACACCCGAATTCCTTGTATATCCGAATATGCGTTCAACACTACCTCAGTGTTGTTCCCATCGGCCCGGTATACTGTCTGTCCTGTCGACCAATAGGTGTGCTTCCCATAGAAATCCATTGAAAAAGCGGTTGAAAATAGTGACGATCCTTGAGCTACCGTACGTACGTTTAGCCCCTTATAGTCCATAACGTTTAAAGTATACATGAATGTGTCGATCCAATAGACTAACTGAGCGTTTGTGTCCAGTGCTATAGTGTGTGGATGCCTGGTGCGGTTGTTGAGCACCTGTATGTCGGATCCGTCTAATTTTGAACACATAATACTGCCGTTATATTCATTGGCAGTCATATTATGGCGCCATTGAGACCACACAAGTAGGACCTCTATGGGGTCCACTTTAACGTCACCCTGCATTTCATCGTGTGTTATGATATCATAGCTATAATAATAAACAGGAACAATTATTAGAACAATTACCAGTACTCAGTATATTAAATATTAAAACTAACTTGTATATACTGCTCATATGATCGCCAATGTTATAAACTTCTACCCCACTTGTGACTGATATGTAAACTAAATTATGTATCCAGTCGTAGGCTAAACCATTAGCTTGGTAATTTTTTTTAACCACCCTGTGCACATTGTTATATTTCGAATATTTAACCATATCTTTATGTATTGGAGATAAGTTTATTTCAAAACCATTGACAGTATTTTCAAGCCATATCATAAACCCATATCGATAATTAAAATCGAGGTAAGTTATCCAATTAGGTGACGCATATAAACCTGTACAAATTAAGTACATATATATTATTTACCTTAATTATATATTAATTTATAAATTTACGAACTTATTGAACCGTCTAAGTAATTATAACCTGTCTCATTTACATCGCGTTTAATATAAATGCCCTCTTTATAGGAAACGTACAGTAATTTCGTGTTTTCGTCGTTTAAATCAAAGGGTACGGCTCGGGGTTATTTGTGGATCAGGTGTCGTGACCACAGGTAGGTCGTGGTGGGCACAGGCCGTACCGTTCCATAGTACAGGAGTCCAGGGTACATATTTTTTACAAACGCACCGGTAGTTTGCATTCATATAGCCAGTAGGCAAACACAATCCCTGTTCGGTACACCTACTCTGAGCGCACTTATTAGAACCGGTAGGTTGACGTAATTTATTAATTATTCTGAAAGTATCCAACGCTATTCCAGATTCCATGACTACCTGTGCGCTCAGTACTGTATCGGACCCGTTATTTATGGGCACTCGTAATATAGAATTATTTGTAGCGCTCATCCAATATAGGTATTCCCCGAACAAATCGGTGGTCTTTAGTATAGTATCGGTGAACAGGTTTGTCGACGAATGGACTATCCGTTGGTCACTCCCATTGTAATTCACAGCACATACCTGGCTAACACTTTTGTCATCATATTTGGTACGTATGTAATAAATTATCTTGGTCCTTATGTCTAAGTTAAGTGTATGTCGCCTAATATACTGAGAATCCGCGATTACACGAACAGCCTGTCCATCCTGATAGGCGCCCATTAAATGACTCTTAAATTTGTCATCACTATAACGAGTCTTTTGATCGCCATAATAGTTATCCTGGTCGTCAATATATTCGGTCCAGAATAGCATAGATACCAACGGATCCACACGAATGTCCTTGATCACACAGTTTTTGTATGTAATAACCGGATAAATATCATGGTAATCAGTATATATTCTTCCGACATAAATGCCAACGGCACTATATGGATAGTTGCAATTAGCAAAATATACAACATGGTGAATCCAGTCCACGGCCAGGGATTCGTAGTTTTTGGTTATCGTGTAAGATATTGTGCTAACTGTCCGCTGGGTATTTGTGTTAATAATAGGTCGTGACTCGATTGTCGGTTGATATCTGGATCCAATAATAGCAATTAGATAGTTACCCTGGATATTAAAATCGAGTTGATACACACTATGAGTTATATTTAGTAAATATTCTGATTCGCTGTAATGCATTGGCTGTAATAAATTGTCGGACAGTTTCCCGAGTCTAATATCCGGGTATCGCGTCTTAAATAACAATAGCGTGTCATTCGAGTCGAGCATTTCGGATACGGCGCTAATATTTTGCACGATAATCGGTATATCCGGTGGACGTTCAACACGTGCTTCCGGTTCCGAACACGTGTCCAGTTGATTGGCGTCCGAGCATAAGCACCGGTAACTTTGGTTGCCTTTTGGCAGATACAGGTGATCGCATGTACTGTTAAGACAATAGTTTGTGCTTTCTGGTTGTTTATCAGGGTGAATTATCTTGTTGAAATAAATGGGCTCGTCTGATTTTACAACAGTTCCTGTAGTAAAGTCGATGAATACAAATTAAAGCTATTATTTATGTTTATTAAGTTTATAACTTAAAAATTGTTAATAACATACTTATTGAATAGTCCTTCAAATTAATGGCAAAAATGCTTTTTTCTTTAGGCGACGACCAAAACACAGAACCGTTGAACACATCGATTGCGGAACAGTCGCTGAAGTGTTGTTTCGATGTTTTGATGCCTTTTCGATTGTCACCGAAATAATCGATAGTCGATATCCAATGAAATTCGTTGTCAATCCATACAATCGATTTCGACTGGAAATCGATAGCTAAACACACGGGTTGTCGGATACCTTTATAGACCAGTATTTTGGGTTCACTTCCGTCTTGGTTACACTTTCGGATAACTGCCGTTCCGTTGGAATACCATTCCGACCATACTATGAATGATTCAGCAGGGTTAATTGAAGACGGATTACATAGAGTACGTGCGAGAAGTGGTCCGCAAACTCTATGTATTCAATGATGAGCACCGGGTGCTTAACATCGATGATTTGATACCGTTTCATGAGCTTAATGGTTGCACCGATGCTGAGGATGCTGTGAATAATACAGGTGCTTTTATGGTAGGTTTTGCTAATGATACGTTTAAAATGTTAGTTTCAATCACCCCGGTATCTGATAGTTAAACCTTAATGTAAAACTGGGTTCTCTGTAATAATCAGTGTATTTATAAGCAAATAAAATATAAAAGTTTTATAATAAAAGATAATTTAATTATAAAGTGTAAGCGTTATTTATGTGTATTTGCAATATAAAAAGTTATTATTTTTCAGAGTTTTGGGTAATCTCAATTGTGCAATTTATTAAAAATCGTAATGAATTTGTTACTAAAAATATTAAACTGTCATTTGACAGTGAATTATGGATTATATAGAAAAAAGCCAAGAATTGTGAGGAATATGTTAAGCCGTGTTAAGTGTAAAACTGAAGCACCAGTGCTCACGTCATACATGGTATTCAATGCTAACACTTATGGATAATCAGTGAACAGCGCACAAGAAGTACCCGAAAATCAAATACAATAAGTACTCACAAAAGCCTCAATGACCGCAATCCTCGGAAAGTTTTGCCACCATTTTGAACAATGAATTCTTGGATAAGTCGCTGAAATTGAATGAATGAATGGTTTGAAATCAAATAAATGTTCAATGGATAGGAAATGAATGGTTAGTAACAGTGCTTACAGTGACGCCAATTTCATTAATCCACTGAACACTCCATCGTCTATATCTGTGATCACATTATTTGATAAATCGCTACAAATTCAATAAGGTGTGATCCACAAAGTACATACGCACG